ACATACTGACTTAGTACTCAGAGGCTATGAGCTCCTGGAACAGCCATGGCAAATACAATAGTACTATATACACATGAGCACGTGGCAGAGACGAATGAACCAACACCCACCCACTCCCCCAGACCTGGTGGGAGAGCACACCCACTGAGTGTTATTGCTTTCCAGTTGCCAGACCCGAATGACTGTGCTAGATCACAATAGGCACCAGAGCCAGGCATGCCGGCACTGGGCTGCTGACCATTGCCCCCTCCCCACTTGGGCCTCATGGAGAGAGCCCACTGTTCAAAGACTCGTCTTCTTTTTGAACAAGTCTCACTGTCACCCCAAATTCATCATTTAATCCTCACCACATCCATGTGAGGTAGGTGTTACCATTCTCATTTTACAAGTAAGGAAACCAGGGACTGGAGGTGAAGCGATTTGTCCAATGTCACAGTTAGTAAATAGCAGAGTTGAGATTCACACCCTCTTCTGTCTCCTCTCAAAGTCTGCTCTTTGAACTTGTATTCTCTATGAGTCTCAGCCCTAATCAGACTGCCAGATCAATGGTTTCCTTTTGAGCCCCCCCCCCCACATCCTTCCCCCCCAGTTAGAGTCTGGAATTAGCACTAAGATAGCCCGGGTTTGGTGTGCACCCATGTGTCCACCAAATTAGGCTTGTCCTTAACCCTTTATTAGGGACATGCTTGCCTTTCTGTAAGACTGGAACTTACCTAAACTCTTTGCTTTGCACTTTAGTTACTCTGCCACACAGAGAGCCCACCCTGAATCCCTGACTTCTTCACCTTCTCCTGCCAGTCTCTTCTTCCCAATTGGGGTCCTGATCCAAACTAGATAAATTCTGCACCCCCAACCTCGTTGGCCTGCCTGGTTCTGAGCAATACCCCTATGTGAAAATTGCTGCTGCTATGCCCCAATCCCTGAGATCCAACTTGTCAGTTGGTCAGTGGGTGTCTAAGGCTCCAACCTAGAAACTAGAGCTAGGCTCAGATTGAGGAATCTAGGGAGAGAAAGTAGGAAGGATGGCAAGGAGCAGAACCAACACCCAGGCCCCAAAGCATCAATCCAAAGGAACCAGGCAGAGAGGGGCAACCAGCCAAAAGGGAAGAAGGCTATAACCAGAGCCAACATTAAGGAGCAAGTGGGTGGAGAAGGGAGGACAGAGGTGAAAGAGGCGCTAACTTCCCAAGCACTTGAATGTAGGGCAGGTCTTCTTACAGGATCTGTAAGTACAGCGAGATCAGGCAGGGTCACTAAGCTGGTCCAGACCTGGAACTGACTTCCTTCTGGCTCTAAGCCCTCGAGAACTATCAGGGATTGCTGGCTGGGTGCTCTGATCGCCATCCAGTCTAACCCCAGCATCCTCCCTCGCTCCACCCACATTCATTCCTTTACTTATTCAATTAACAAACATTTAAGCTCCATGCAGGTGGAAATGTTGTCTATCTTCTTCATCACTTTTTAAAGTTTATTTAGTTTGAGAGAGAGAGAAAGAGAGAGAGTGTGCATGTGCTTGTGCACACACACATGCCTGAGCACAAGTAGGGGAGGGGCAGAGAAACAGAGAAAGAATCCCTAGCAGGCTCAAAGCCCAGTGAGGAGCCCATTCAGAGCTCAGTCTCGCGACTGTGAAATCACGACTTGAGCCAAAATCAAGAGGCAGATACCTAACTGACTGAGCCACCCAGGCACCCCTCCTCTTCAACATTTGAAGGCTAAAATCCAGAACAATTTTTGGCACATAGTAAGCACTAGATGTATGTTAGTCGAATGACTGAATAACTGCTAAATGATCAGAAAATATTTAGTGTCCTAGAGTATACTCCAAATTGTGGCGGTAACCTTAAGTAGAATTCCAAGCACATGTTGTCTGCTGGTATTCACCAATAAGAAAATAGGCTATAAGCTGTCAGCATGTATAGTTTTTAATCAGACATATCCTATACTAAGATCATTTAAAATTTTCTGACAAGAAATGGCATGCAGATTTTAGAGAAGGTAAAAATACACTTAAGTCAGGTTTTAGAACATTAAAATTTTATTTTTTCTTTTTATTAAATTTCCAAACTAATCTTTGGTCACTATTATCAATGCTACTAAGCATTTGCCAGTGGTTTCAAAAGAATTTGCAACAAAGAATGCCTGAACATTGCCAATAATTACACAGTCAACATCATAGGTAAAAAATGATGGCATTTGATCACAAAATTTCTTTTGGAGTCCCCAAAGGAAAATATTGATGCAAAGGTTTGAGATTTTACTTTGGATTACTTCTTAGGGCACTAGATCAAATAACACTCAAAAGTTTTCAAGATGCATGTAAACTCTTCATGCTGACTACAGGATGCTGTGGTTAGTTAGGCTGAAGCTCTCTGTCTGCCATCTGAATACTCAGAGTAAACAAAAAAGGACTCTGGGACTTGCACAGAAACCATGGTAAACCCTGAGGGGGATTTGAACTTTGAATTAAAGGAAACCGCAAGCCACCACACTGTTGACCGTGAACATGTTTACATTTTGTATGACTGGGGGCAAGGGCAGATGGAGTTTGGATGACTTACAGAGATGCTGCCTGAGGTGTGGTTAAAGTTGTCTCACAGTGTCGGGAAGAGGACGCAGCTACACGCAGTCAGAGGGTCAGAAGGTCCATGACAAACTTGAGCTTGGGTCGGGCAGGAATTGCCATCTGCTGGGTATGCGGGTGGAGGGAAGGAATACTTAAACAAGTAACAGATGTCACTTAAAATGATATAGGGCCTACAGAAGATTGCCTAAAGTCTGGTTTATGATCATCAAAAGTGTCAGTCTGAGCATGGAATGGTTTACAAAATTCTGGTAGAGATTTTTCACCTAAAGTCATAGTGTCTTGGGGTAGAATGGATTACATTGAGTAACGGTGAAAATGTTGCTTTGGTCAGTGAAAACTGTCAATGACACATTTCAATTCCTAATTCTGGCTAAATTCTGCCACTCTAAATAAGATGAAACAGTTGAAGCAATAGCAAATACTTCCCTTCCCCCTGCACTGGGTAATTACATGGGAGTAAATGAGCCAATAAGAAGTAAGCTCCTTGATTAAAGTTGGCCCTAAGAAGGGCAGGTGGGGAGGGAGTGGGGAACCCTAGGAGAAATCAAAGCTATGACGACAGGCCAGGACTTCTGTGATCTATGTAACATCCATCCTATGCAGACAACTCCCCAGACTCTACCCCACTCTTTATGCTGTCCCCAGAGCCTCAGCAGAGCCTGGCAGAGCAGAGACTGTGTTTGGGATGAGTCAAATCATGAGCTCTACTAGCTGCCACATCCATCCCTAGGGAAAGGATGCCTGGCCCATTAGGAATATCGCCCTGGGCTTAAGAGGTTGGAGAATGAAGTTTGCATAAATTAGTGCCACTTCCTTCTTTCTCTACTGTGCCTATTATGTAGCTTATTTACTTTAGGAAGTGCCTGACGCCTGGTGTGAAACTTCAAAGAATCATGAGGGGTGAGTTATAGAGGAAAGGAAACATTCTAGTTCCTAGAAGCTATTTTGCAACATGGAATGATGTTTTGTTTCCAGGCAACTGGACTATCTGTAGCAGAATCCCAACTAGGAGATGGACAGGTAAGGAGGGACTGGAAAGAGCTGGATACAGGATCACTAGCCAAGCTGGAGGGGGAAGGAGGGAGGGGCGGGAAGGGGTTGGAGCAGGGCTCAGCTTAAGTAAGCCAGAATGCCAGAAACTAAAGTGTTAGGCAAGGAAACTGAAGCAGAGGCCCAACTGTATGGATTCTGGCAACATAAGAGCATTAAGGAAGAGATGCTTGAGATATCCCAGAAAGTATGAAGGCTCAGAGCCAGAGATGTGAGCTGGAATCCGAGCTGTCATTTCCCACCAGCACAACTTTGACAAGCTTCTTAACTTCTTTAAGGCTCAGTTTCCTCATGTAGAATACAGAAATAATACTAATCCAATAGGGATGTTGTGAGAATTAAGCTTTATAAAGTATATAGGTCCCAAATATATAGGCTTAAAAATTTTTTTTAATGTTTTATTTATTTTTGAAGAAGAGAGAGACAGAGCATGAGCGGGGGAAGAGCAGAGAGAGAGGGAGACACAAAATCCAAAGAAGGCTCCAGGCTCTGAGCTGTCAGCACAGAGCCCAACACGGGGCTCAAACCCACAAACTGTGAGACCTGAGCCAAAGTCAGATGCTCAACTGACTGAGTCACCCAAGTGCCCCTCAAACATATAGGCTTCTAAACTATTAGTTTGTCAGCTCCTTGAAAGCAAAGAAGGGATCTTATCAGTGCAGCAATGACCATGAAGACAGAGAAAGCGTTTAATACATGTTTGCTAATAAATGGGGAAAAAATTGCATTACAGACCCTATCTCCAGGTGAAGTTGAAGTTGGTAGTCTACACAGTCTCATGTTACTATTCAAAGTGAAGTTCATGAACCATTAACATGATTTGGGAACTTCTTAAGAGATGCAGGATCCCACCCCACCCCAGACCCAAATATCAGAATATAACCTGATCCCCAGGTGATCTGTCTGCATGTTAAACTTCGAGAAGCACTGCTCAGTCACGATTGAATGAATGATGAGGCCTGAGTCTCCTGGTGGACGGCTTCTGGTGGCTCTATCTGGGATGGGACGGGAATGGCAGGAGCTCTCAGGGAATATCCAAACTGATTCCTTAAATTGTGACCATGGTCTCTCAGGGTATGAGCAGATGGCCAGGCTGCTCTGCATCAGAGGAGCTAGGACCCCAATCTGGCCAGGCAGGGATAGCATACTGATTCCATAGATGTGTGAGCAAAGGATGAGTTTCAGAGCCTCAGCCTGGACTCAAAGGCAATATCTACAGGTCAAGGAGGCAAGAAGCCAAGTCCAGGGGACTCAGGTGAGGGTGAATGACAAGCTAAAATGAGTTATGCTGCTCTGGAGCACCAAAGTCTAGAGAATAAGAGTTTGGAAGAAAAAGAAAGCAGACGATTCAACCAGTACTTACGGTGCCACTTATGAGTAAGACAGGGAGTGAGTCTCATTTTAGGAGAGGTTGGTCCTCATTCTCAGGCTCACATTCTTTCCCGTGTAGGTAGATGTGTCTTTATAGCTGTGTGGGTGTAGTCTGAGGGGGACTCAGCATTACAACGCACTTGTTCCTTGTGAAGCCAGATAAAAGGCTTGCTGGAAGGTTCCTCTGTCCTGCTGACATAAAGACATCAGTCAAGCTGGGAAAGTGGAAATTTCAGGGACTGTTTTTGAAAGTTCTGTAAAAAAAAATGAACAGGAAGTCCCGGAACTTTTGCCCACACCATAATCCTATATTTTCAGTAAAGAATGGGCCACTCCTCTAGAGGCAATATGTCCACACCCCTAGGAACCCAGATAGCATTCTCTCAGGGGGCACAGCACAGGTGCCAGAGCTGGAGGGGACTTGGTAGTTTTCAATCATTTTTAAATCATGGAACTCTATTTCCTAACACTGTTGGACGCTCAACACTTGAACTGGATATTAGTGAATCTACTCTTACTGAAGAGAAACTGAGGACCAGAGCCATTCCCTTCCACCCCCTACACTCCAAGGCCCTCTGAGGCTCCTAGGTAGAACCCCCTTGTTTCCCAAAGGCAGTTTGAGAAGCATTTCTCTATACCAGTCCTACTGATGAATGAGGAAGATGAGGCCCATGCAGACAAGATCTTCCTTGACCTGGCACAGGCTCATCTCACTACCCAAGTGACTCCCTACAGTTTGGCCATTGTGGACTTTCTTCAGTCCTCAGAACATGCCATGCTCTCCTCTTCTGGGCCTTTCTACATGCTATTCTCTCTGCTTGAAACACTCTGCTCCTCTCCATGCCTCCTTGTCTTCCCACCCCACTCCTGCCTGCTGGAGTCCTCAGTAACCTCTGGATCTCAACAAAGGCCTATTTGCTCTGTTCAAAGGCCTATTTGCAACTGAGGCACAGTTGCCAGCTCAAAGGTGTGAGATTGCTGACTGCCCCTCCACCCAAATATGGGGTGATTGTGAAAAAATCCTTGTCCAGTCCACGTTGATTCCTTCTAAGGGAGTTCTGACTGGTGTACAACAATGTGAGGTGAAGATCCAAGTAATGGGGAAAATGTGAAGGAAATGCAAAGTGAGACACACTTATAAGATGTTGGTAGGTCCATGTGACAGTGGCCTTCAAAGTGGTCATACAGAGTTATTGGCAGATATCTGTTTCTTATAATGACAGTTTTCAGAGATCATCCTGACCTGCTACCCTGAGAGTTTAGAACACAAGAGGTCTTAAATATGACTACCTTCTAACCCCAGTAACTATATTTGACATTACTAGTAGATAATCTTGCAAAAATTCCACAAGAAATTATTGAAGACTTCACCAATGACAGAATATAGACACAAAACATGCTACCTGGTATATCTCAGGCATTTCTGTGGTGGATGCATGAATCTCTCCTGAAACACCCATCTGACAATAAATAAACAAACAAACAAACAAACAAACAAATAAATCTGAAGTAATGTTGCACTAAAATTGTTCTAAACATGCAAGGAGCTACAAATGCTAAGTCAACATATTCCAAAATTGGCTCACCCCATTAGTATGTGGGCAGTAAATTGTTAAAAAAAAAAAAACTAATTATCTTTTTAGATAGTATTACCCCAAACATTATTTTTACAAGCTTCGTAGAGTAAGTCAACAGGTTAAGTCAAGTCTCTGCTTAAGCTTCATTTTATTTAAAGTGACACTTCCTGGTAAACAGGTTTTAATTAAAAAGGAAAATTACATTTGCATCCCTGGAAGATAAAGGAGAAACTACAGACTATTTCACTATCTACACTCTCTGTTTCTACTTATCTTTGGCACCAGTTACAAAGGAAAACTACCTGGAAGGATAATTTCTCCCACAATAATCCCTTCCAATTAGACAGGACTTAGCAACTTATAAAGTATATTCATATACGTGATTCCATTTGATCCTGTCAACGGCCCTGAATGGCACATATAACAAGAATTAGAGTTAACTTCATCTCATAAATGAGGATGCCATGGGTGCTACGTGACTTGCTCATGGTCACCCTGATGGTAGGCAATCAGCCAGGCTTTGAATACAAGGTCTGTGATCACAGCTCTATCTCAGAGCTATCATCATCAGGTAAACTGTGGTTAAGTCAGCCTGATGTCTTAGATCATATTATAGAGGGCCCGGGAAGGGTCTTCAAGTTGCTGTGGTTCTCAAACTATACCTCTTAGAACCCCAAAGGTCCCTAGTGATGCTTAGGAAGCCACCATAGGGAACATGAGAAGACCGGATACTGGGCTAATATCCCAATCAAGGATCTCTGTTTTCATGTCTCATATACTGATGTTTCAAGTAAAATTTCTTTGGAATAAAGTATTCCACTGCTTAAAAAAAAAAAAAAAAAAAATTGAAACTCCAGTATACGAGTCCAAACTTGTCATTTTACATATTGGAAAAGACCCATAAAGATCACATAATTTGTCCATTTTCACACCCAACTTAGATTGGAAACCACACCCAGTCGATGACCCCGTGATTGGGATAAGAGTTAAGTCTCTCAGTACAGTGTTTTGTCTCCATCTGAAGTTCCCCAACCTGAGTGTGTATCAGGATTGCCTACAGGGCTTATCACAGATTTCTGGGTCCCGTGTCCAGAGGTTCTGATTTAATAGGGTTGGGTTGGAGCCTGGGAATTTGCATTCTCAACAGATTCCAGATGACACTAATGCTGCTGGACCACCAGTCTACAGAGTACAAAACAACTGAAAAGTCTATTGAGTTGACCAGCAAATTGTGCATTTCCTCAATTTTATTTCACTCTGGAAAAGCAGTAAAGGAAAATTTCTCCTTCAGAATTTATAAACCCATGGCTTTAACCATGTTGGTATACATCCTCAACACCTAGTGTTGATATGCTATCACATCAAGAACCCAAACCCTCCATGTAGCAGATAACATTGAAGTCCCAGCTCATACTCCCTCATCCAACCTCTGAGTTCACTGGCATCTACAGTGGGCAGTTTCCATGCACACAGCCAGCTTTCTATCTCAATGGATGGCATATCGTTGGTGTCTCTGAGGACTTTCTTTAGCCAACAAGAGCTTGCTTACTCCGTGTGTGTGTGTGTGTGTGTGTGTGTGTGTGTGTGTGTGTAATTAATGTCCCCATTTTCCAGGGCACCCTTCAAACAATGAAGACATGAATCTGCAGATAAACACTCCAGGTTCCCTATCACTTGGTGGGATCATTTTTTTAAGTTTATTTATTTTGAGAGGCGGGGGAGGGGTGTAGGCAGAAAGAGGGAGAGAGAGAAACCCAAGCAAGCTCCCACCATCAGTGCAGAGCCTGACATGGGGCTCACTCTCATGAACCATGAGATCATGACCTGAGCTGAAATCAAGAATCTGACGCTTAACTGTCTGAGCCACCCAGGTGCCCCTCGATGGAATAATTTTGAAGCTTGTTCAAATGACTCCTCAGAAGGTCCCCAGTAAGATTGTGCCCCAGTTTCACACAGCAGTAACTCACTTATTCATCACCCTTTGTTGGCATTTCTCCCTTTCTATCCACCTTCCCCACTCCCTCACTTGTGCTTCCTGAGATCACTTCCTAAATAAACTACCTGCATTCCACGTTCTTGTTTCAGGGTCTGCTTTTGGGAAAAAACAAACCAAGACACTCTATCTCATAAGTTGTTCACCAAATTCACAGAAGCATCACCTCCCAGCTGACTCACACCTGTTCTTGCTCACCTTTCATATCTCTGCCTTGGGGTTTTATCCACAGGTCTTCCAATAACACCATTAACACCAACTTAGGGTGCACAAGATGGGTGTTAAATAAGTGAAACAACAATTGTTGCTGCCTTAACAGCAGCAGAAACAGAGACTGTTGAATGTGTGAATATGATTCACTGACTGTACACTTAAGTAGTCACTCTTCAAAAAGAGGCCCAAGTTCATCAGTCATATTTGTGAAGGATGCCAGCTTGAAAAAAAATTGGCATTGGGGCACCTGAGTGGTTCAGTTGGTTAAGTGTCCGACTTCGACCTAGGTCATGATTTCGCTATTCCCAAGTTCGAGCCCCACGTCAGGCTCTGTACTGACAGCTCAGAACCTGAAGCCTGCTTCAGATTCTGTGTCTCCCTCTGTCTCTCTGCCCCTCCCCGACTCACACTCTGTCTCTCAAAAATAAATAAACATTATGCATATTTTTCAGGGCATCACTATAAATATAAATATTTTTAAAACTATCAATTCTGAAATGGAGAGAAGTTTCCTTTTGTACTGTTAAAGCAAGATTAACTTTCAGCTAATATTTACATTTGAGGAGTGGAGTTTCAGCAGTGAAGGCATTGACGTTTGTCAAACTGTAGTGCAAATCTCAATGAAAAAAGAAAAAAAAGAACTATGTGAGAAGCAATTAAATTGTCCTCAAATTGAAGCCAAAGAATAGATACAGATCCTTTGGTTAAAAAAACAATTAAATGAATCAAACTTCATCCTAAATAATAGAGCTATTACATGTATTTCATTCCACTTGTTATTGATGGCTTAATTTTTTTCTTTATTGAAAAAATAGTCTTATTGTGGGATAACTGACATATAATGAACTGTACATATTTAAAATGTACAACTTAATAAATTTTGACGTATATATGCACCCAGGAAACCACCATGTGCACTTATTTTTTAAAGCAATATTCTCAAGTTTAAGTCTATATTATTTTAAAACCCAATTTCTGGAATAATGAATTAATTATCATATTGATGCAGTGATTCCTTGTTGGCTAAAAGCTCTTTAAATTACTCCCTATTTCAAATGGCTATATATGAGTATGCTCAAAAAACTGGTTGGCCCAATTCCCAAGAACTTAGACATAGCTGGCAAATAATAATAAAAGCTACCACTCATTAAGGATCTGTCATTGCCAGGGGCTATTTTGTAGCTCTTTAAATATATCATTTGTAACCCTCACAACAATTCCATGAGGTAAATGTTACTAATGCTATTTTACAAGTGAGCAACTGAGACTTAGAGACATTTAAGGGGTACGACATGACAGAGCTTGGAACTAGATTCCCTCCATTATATAATATTCCCAAAAATGTTAATTTGCTTTTTATAAAGTTTATTTATTTTGAGAGTGAGAGCACAAGCATGAGCAGGGGAGTAGCAGAGAGAGGGAGAGAGAGAATCCCAAACAGACTCCACCCTGACAGCATGGAGCCTGATGCAGGACTCAATTCCATGACTGTGAGATAATGACCTAAGCTGAAATTTAGACTCAGATGTTTAACCGACTGAGCCACTCAGGTGTCCCTTATTTCTTATTTATTGAACAAATAGGCCCTGGACCCTAAGTTAATGTTGAAGATATAGCAGTGAAAGTGATTGATACAAAATTTCTTCAGTGATGAAGAAATTTACTATTTCAATGAAATACAGTTGCACAAATAATTGATTACAATTGCTATTAATGCCTATGGGAGAAGTACAAGGTGCTGTAAGAGCATGAAAGGGGACCTGATCTAGTTTGGGGGCAGGCAGTCAGAGGAGGCATTCATAAGGAAGTAATCCTTAAGCCAAGACCCAACAAATGAGTGGATCTATAATTTTTTAAGTAGCAGAGGTGACATAATCAGATTTGCAAGACTATTTAAGGGAAAGCCACTTACCTGGTAGCAGGCAGTACAGGAGGAAAAATGTCTTCCTTGAGAATTGCAAACTGCAAGCTCAACCCTCGGGCGGGGTTGGAACCAGAATCTACATGCCTATGTAACACAAGAAAACCTCATCACACCTAAATATTGTTCAGAGTGGTTCTTGGTTAGTTAATGCTCTCAGGCATTTAGGTTAGTAAAAGCAAACTTCCAGGGACAAAAACCAACTTTCAGAAAGTTCACACATAATAAGGTTTCCATGGACATGAACTCACAATCAAAACACCATGAAACAAGCTGCCATGAGCCAGTGTTAGCATAAACAAAGTATACCAGAATTAGAACTGCAAAGACTGCAGATATTATTAGAATTATCAGATTGAGAATATAAAATAAGTTTGTTTGATACATTTAAAGAAATAAGAATATCAAAAGTACAATTAAGAAGCAAGATATTTTAAAACTGATCAAATATATTTGAAAAAGAACAACACAGAACAACTTAAAATTTTATGTGTAGATAGATAGCATTAACCCTTTATCTCTTAAATATGTTGCATGTATTTTCCTCCAGGTTTGTTGTTTCTGTTTTAACTGAATTTGTGGTGATACTTGTCACTCAATCCTGAATTTTTTATTCTTTGGAGGTCAAATCTGTGTATCATTTGCCTTTAAGGCTTTTGCAGTTTGTCTCTTGCTTAGAAGGGCTTTTTGTACTTCAAGGTTATTTGAAGAATCTTTATTTTTTAATGTTTATTAATTCACTTTAATCTGTATTTTATATTAACACAAGAGTCAAATGTTGTTTTTAATAGACTGCATTTGGAAATTCCAGCACTGTGTATTAAATAGAACTTTCTTTCTAACTAACTTGAAATAACACTTTTAACATAAACTAATTTCTTGTTCTAGTCAATAAGAATTTAGTTCTCTTAAAACTTCTGACCTTACTTACTCCCTCCCCCATTGTCCAAATTTTGGGATAAATCATCAGTTGACTACTTATATAACAAAAAAGCATGCAAATATTATACACTGATGAAGAAGGTAATTACTACAATTATGTTTCCTTTCTTGAACAACTTTTTTTTTTTCCAGGAGTTAACAATCACCTTGTTATTTTGAGTTGCACAGTTTCCTATGAATCTATTCAAATGCTTGATTGGACCTGTCAAACACCTATTGTTATTAATTTCCAGACACTAAAATATATCAAATAATCTTTTTGTTCCACTTTTTTTTTCCCCCGGGCAATATCCCCCTCAAACTCTCAAGTTTTCCTACTCCATCTGGGCTAATTACTTTCTAGGCCTACAGCACAGCTGTCAGCTAGAATTTCCTTTAGTGCTTTCCTACGCTGGATCCTTCAAATGTCAGTATGTGGAGGTGTTTTCTCTTTAGAGAAACAGCCTCCAGTTTCCTGCCTGGGGGGACATATGCCTGATGGCTCTTTGGAAGAAGGGTCTTTGTGGGAGTAGATCTGAGAAAGAAGGCTGAGGGTACCTCTGTTTATTACTTGAATTTTCCCAGAATCAGCATGTTTCAGTCTCCTGCCATTAACCCAACCCCACCACACCCCTATATGTCTTGTGTCCCTGAGTCTGTCTGGGTCTCTCTGGCTCATTGTCTCCAGAGAACATACTTCCTATCACCTGTGGAGGGTAGTTTCCCTGACTTCAAGGGATAGAGAAGACGCTTTGGCTTTAATATCTGCATAAAAACTTCAACCAATCCCTGCACCTCACCACCTTCAGTGTACCTGGTACCACCTCAAGTTCTGCATCCTCTATGGGCTCTCAATAGTAGCCTCCTCTGCTCTCAGTTACATTTTGCTCCTCCACTCATTTTCCACCTTTCAAAATTTGCTCACATCTCCTTTCTAATTTTATCAGTCTTTGTGGATTTACACTCCCTCCAACTCTACCCCGCCCCACCTCTTCCTATTTAGTCATGTTTCAGTAGGAGGAGACAAACTCAACTATGTTTAACTGGAAGTCTCTCAACCTCATAGTGCCATATATGTATGTATAGATAGCACTATGAGGTATATAAAACCCCATCCTCAATGAAACAATCACTGATCTGCTTTCCATCACAATAGATTCATTTGCATTTTCGAGAGTTTTATGTAAGTACAATCATACATATGTATTCTTATTTGTCTGGATTCATCTCTGGATAGATTTGACCTTTATTCAATTCTTAAAAACCAGCTTTATTGAGGCATAATTTACATACAAAGTCACTAATTTTACTTACTTTTAATTTATTTAATGCTTATTTTTGAGAGAGAGAGAGAGAGAGAGAGCAGGGCAGGGGCAGAGAGAGAGGGAACTCAGAATCTGAAGCAAGCTCCAGGCTCTGAGCTGTCAGCACAGAGCCCTACATGAGGCTTGAACCCACAAACTGCGAGATCATCACCTGAGCTGAAGTCAGACACTTAACTGACTGACCCACCCAGGTGTCCCCAAAGTCATCAATTTTAAATATAGAGCTTGAGAAGTTTTGATACATGAATATCATCATGTAATCACCACTACAGTCAAGATGCAGAACATGTGAAAAGGAATATTTAAATATTTGCTTAAACTTAAGCAAAGTTTTAAGGGAAACAATTTCTTAGTTTCAGAGAAAGTCATGTGCTGTATGCACGCAACATTCAGGCATCATTCCATGGACACACAAAAATCAGTGCCATTTCACCTCCCTTTTCAAGTTACACAGTTGTGAAGACTTGCATTCTTGATTATTTACAGGGAACCTTTGTGATGACTTATAACTTTTTTTTTTTTAACAACTACCCCTTTGGTGTCTTAGGAAATAACTTCAAAGATTAACAGAAGAGGCCTTGTAAGGGAGTTCGATTAAAACCTAAACTGTATTTGCATACTGTATATACTTTGATTCATTCACTGCTGTGATTCCTCTGTCTCCAACCAGGCTACTGGCCCCATAAGAAAGTGTCACACAGCTCACAAGTTTCTGTTCAGCCATGTTGTCTCAGTGCTCTTTGTTCCTATCTTGTGTCCCAGCCTCCAGTCTCTCCCCATTCCACTCCCACCTAGGCATCACTGTTCATTAATCTTTCTGAAGTCTTGCTTTTATGGCAGGGCACCTTCCACACTTCCCAGTGCTCACAGGAGTAGGTCTGAGTTCCGTAATGCTGCCTTCAACTTCGTGTGCTCCACCTTATTTATGTTCAAACTGTGGGCAGCTGGGAGCCATTTCCAGAGAGTCATGTGGCTGAGCCCGGTTGTTGCTGTGCAGGGTGGGCTGTGTGTGTTTTATCCTTTCCAAACCCAGCACAACATGTGGAATGGCCTGGGTCTAGAAAAAAGGTGTTAGGATTTGTTGCAAAAGGATAAAAATTTACACCTTAAGCTTTATTTAAAAAGCATAGTAAAGCTTTTAATCAGCTACTGTAAAGAGAGTTCAGTAATTTATGTGAATATAGAGATTTAGGTGTCACAATAACTTAGAGGTTTTATGCTCCATGTGTAATTTATTTGTCAGATACAGAGCATGACATGCCTTACTTACTTTCTGGTGTTTTTTTTTTTTAAGATTTTTTTTTAAGTTTATTTTTTTTTTTTTTGAGAGAGAGAGAGAGAGCAGGGGAGGGGAAGAAAGAGAAGGAGAAAGAATCCCAAGCAGGCTCCACACTGCCAGTGCAGAGCCCGACATGGGGCTTGAACTCACAAACCATGAGATCATGACCCGAGCCAAAACCAAGAGCCGGACACTTAACTGACTGAGCCACCCAGGTGCCCCCTGGGTTACTTTCTGAAAAGGATCATCGTTTATTTATTTATCCAAACATTCATTAAATATCTCTTGAGCAACTATTACTTGTCAGGCTCTGTGCTAGGCATTGGCAATACATTTGTGAAGCAGAGAGATATTGTCTATAGCCTTAGCTAACACATTGGCTGAATGAGTCATTATACGGATAAGCAGAGCTACGGATGGAAAGTAAACTGGGGGCTGTGGAGGCCACTACTGCCCTGCTCATATCCCCTCAGCACTCACCAGGCAAGCCAAAGGCTTCTTCCTGCAAGAGACTCTCAGGCTGAGTAAGGCTTCTCTGGCCCACAGCAGGCAGGAGCATGCTCAGCCCTAGTATGGTGCGGGCCGTCAGTGCCAAGGAATCAGTGCCCTCAGGAGCAGTCCTCAACCCATGGTGAATAAGACTTGAGAGTTAACTACGCAGCTCCCTCACCCTCTGGGTGTTCTATACTATCTAAGCCTGGGCTGCCATAACAAAATGCCATAGACTGCGTGGCTTAGACAACGGAAATGTATTTTCTCACAGTTCTGGAGGCTGGATGGCTGAGATCAGGGTGCCAGCATGGGTGGTTTCTGGTGAAACCTCTCTTCCTGGCTTGTGGATGACCACTTTATCACTGTGTGTTCACGTGACCTCTTCTTTGTGTGCTCTCTCACGAAGAGAAAGAAAGACCTCGGGGAGCTCCCTAGTGTTACTTCTTAGAAATACGCTAATGCTACTGCATCAAGGCCCCACCCTTATGATCTCATTATAGGCCCTCCTTAATTTTTAATTATCTCCTTATTGTCCCTATCTCCAAATATAGGCATATTGAGGATGAAGGCTTCAACATATGGATTTGGGGGAACACAATTCAGGCTATGGTGTATACTGTCTCCCAGAGTTTCCCAGTGAGACTGAGCCCCAGTTACCCACCTCCCATGAATCCATTCATTAAGGCACTCTGAATAGCCTTCTTTTTCTTCCTTCCTCATTCCTCTATCTTCCTACCACAGCTTCCTGAGATTAACCCCCACATAAACCACTTGCACTCAAATCCTAGTCTGAGGATTTGTTTTGGGGGGAACCCCACCAATGACCGGAGCATATATCAGGGAACCAGACTTATGCCTAGTGGGCCTAGATCTTAGAAAGTCTTACCAGCTGTGCCAGGTGGGAAGCCATTTAAAGTCTTAAGCCAAAGGAACGAATCTCTGGTAGCATGTGGAGAAAAGATTCAAAGAGGTAAGAAGCTGATTCAGGGCAACTAACAGGGAAGCTATTTCTTCAGTCAAGTCAGAAGAAGATTGTGATCAGTACTAGGGAGGAAGCAGTGAAGACAGAGCCTGACATGATGCCTAGTCCATAGTAACTGCTCAACAAATATTTTTGGATGAAAATTAATGAATAGGTTCAATGTACCAAATCACTAGATAGACTGCCAGAACTTGAAGACTCGTTTCATTTGGGATTTGAGGAAAAGGAAAGAGTCAAGTCTTCAGGCTTGAACAGCTAGGTGAATGCTGATGCTATTTACTCAATATGGATCATAGCTTTGAGGATCAGCAAGTTGGAGGGGTAACAGATAATGTGTTTGGGGCATGATGTGCCTGTGAGACATCTAATTGATGCTGAGTAGGCAGCTGGGTACACAGGTTTGGAGCTGGGTTAGAGATGCATATTTGGGTACCACCAGATATAGCTGCAAATTGCGTGGAGCAAGCCCTCTCCAACCACATGGGAAATGTGACCCAGAAGAGCTCCATGTTTTCCTATTTTCTGGAATTCTCTCTAAAATAACATTTCATAAGGAGTATGAGGGAGAACTAATATCCATTGAGAACCTACTATAGGCCAAGAATTGCACTAGGTGTTTAATCTTCAGAACAGCCCTGAGAGGTATGAAATATTATCTCCATTTACAGACGAGGAAATTAAGGTACAGAAAGGAGGTCATTTATCCAAGTACAAAGCTGGTCAGCAGCTTCAGAAAAACTCTAGACTGTCCTAGTCCAAATTTCATGTTTAAAATAAGAATCAACAAAACATGGTTCTGTATCCTATGACTCTTAGTCTCACCAGACTTCACAATGTGCAATTCCCAAAGTCAGGTGCATTCAGTAGTAGAGTCTTTCGATTCCAGGGACCAAGGGTTATTCTCTCTGCAGCCCTCTGTTCAGCTCCTCATCCCTCATTTGAACAACTCTCTTTCCAAGTGGTCCCCCTGCTGGTGACCCTACTGTGGTAAAGCCCCAACTGAAATCTCTCAATTTCTGTCACCGCAGATTTGCTTTCTCTGGACATATCATTTAAATGGAAGCATATAATGTGGTCTTTTGCAATGATGTTCTCAGCCAGTGTGCTGAATAAAAGGTAAAATATTTAGTATTTCCTCAACACCATATGTAACATAGAGAGTAACCCAAAACCTCATTATTTTTTTTAATGTTCATTCATTTTTGAAAGACAGAGAGAGACAGACCACAAGCAGGGGTGGGGCAGAGAGAGAGGGGGACACAGAATCTGAAGCAGGCTCCAGGCTCTGAGCTGTCAGCACAGAGCCCAACATGGGTCTCGAACTCATGAACTGCAAGATCATGATCTGAGCCAAAGTCAGATGCTCAACCAACTGAGCCACCCAGGTGCCCCTTTTTATTTAAAAATATAGCACACCATCTTGGATTTGCTAATGCTGATACACAGTAGTGCAAACTTTTTTTTTTATAGATCTGCATTAAACTTATACATTTATTTGGAAAGATTAATACTGATATTAGTCAATGTTATATATTTTCTATCCCTGGTATGATCCAGTCTGTTAAGTCAAAAGTTTTGAGAACTTTAAGAAAACTATTATTTAGGGTTTTAACACATACTATCTGTATCAAATTCTTTTTCTGGTGATATTTTTATATGGCACATTTTCCCACAGTCTATTCTCTCTCTCTTTTTTTTTAATATTTACGTATTTTGAGAGAGTGTGAGAGAGGCACAGAGATAGAGGCAGAGAGAGAAAGAGAGAAAGAGAGTGAGAGCAAGAGCAAGAGAGAGAGAGGATCCCAAGCAGGCTCCATGATGTCAGTGCAGAGCCTCATGTGATCATGATATGAGCCAAAATAAAAAGTCAGACACTTAACTGACTGAGCCACCCAGGTGCCCCCACAGTCTATTCTAAATCATTGTTTCTAACAGACAGGGAAGCTATTGAATTGCATATTCAAATTTTGGAAAACAGTATGGAGGTTCTTCAAAAGATTAAAAATAGAACTACCACATGATCTAGCAATCCCATTTTGGAATATTTACCCAAAAGAATTGAAATCAGGATGTCAAAGAGGTTATCTACACTCCCATGTTCACTGCAGCATCATCCATAATAACCAAAATATTGAAACAACCTAAATGTCCCTTGATGGATGAATAGAGAAAGAAAACATGGTATAGGGGTGCCTGGGTGGCTCAGTCAGTTAAGCATCCGACTTCGGCTCAGGTCATGATCTCATGGTCCATGAGTTCGAGCCCCACGTCGGGCTCTGTGCTGACAGCTCAGAGCCTGGAGCCTGTTTCAGATTCTGTGTCTCCCTCTCTCTGACCCTCCCCCATTCATGCTCTGTCTCTCTCTGTCTCAAAAATAAATAAATGTTAAAAAAAATTTTTTTAAATAATAAATAAATATTTAAAAAATTAAATTAAATTATAAAGAAAACATGGTATATTCATACAATGGAATATTATTTAGCTTTAGAAAAAGAAAAAAATCCTGCCACTTGCAACAATAGCCTGCAGGACATTATGCTGAGTGAAGTAGGTCAGACACAGAAGGATAAATACTGCATGAATACACTTATATGAGGGATCTAAAATAGTCAAACTCATAGAAGCAGAGAGTAGATTGGTGCTCGCCAGGGCTTTGGAGAGGGAAAATGGGTAATTGCCGTTCAAAAGGTATAAAGTTTCAGTTATGTCAGACGCATAAATTGGAGAGATCTGCTACTAAATACAGCACCTATGGTTAACAACAATATACACTTAAAATTTTGTGAGAGAGTAGATCTTATGTTGTGTTTCTTACCACAGTAAAAAAAAAAATCAACTAAAAACAATTATACAAACAGTTCTTAAAAGATGGAAGTCAGAATCCATACTGCCTCATTCTCCAGATGTGAGGTAGTGTCGCTCCCTATGTTCTAATTCTTTTAATATGTTTGTTGGAGGCAAAGTTTCATAGACTACTTCCTGGTGTGGGGGTGAGCATCTCACCTGAGTCATAGAAGGTTCCAGAGATTGGGCAAGATTGAGCCAGAGAGATGAGGTCATTCTTTTTGCCAATCATTGCAATGTTGCAAAAGGCAGAGGCGGTGTCTTGGACAAGAAACTAGACCTAAGTGAGAGGCCCTTAGGCAGAAGAAAGAAGTATGATCAGTGGAGTTCATCCTGGACCATGTCCCCTTCTTGACCTCTCCCAACCCCTCCACACTGTAGCCAGAGTGAACTTTTGTCACCATGAAAGATGGTTCAGAGGACCTGTGACTACTGGCTAGCTCCTCTCCTTTCTCTGGGAACCTATTCTCTAAGCATTTGTAAATTTCTTTCAGCTCCAAAAAACACATCATTTTCATCTTTACCTCTAGGCCTTTGCCCATGCCCATCCCTCTGTTCCAGCCCCCTTCACATCCAACCCTCCAAACTGACTAATGCCTGCTCATTGCCAAGTCTCTGTTCAGACCTCATTAGGAATTTTTTCCTGACCCTCAAGACTGGGTTAGGTTTTCCCTTTTCAGGGGCTTTTACCCCTATTCCACAGACCAGCCGAATGTGTTGTGATTGCCTATTAACTTGTCTACTCCTCACTCCCCCTAGACTGAAAGCTTCTTCAGGCAGGGACAGAATCTGCCCAACATCTGACCTCATGAGATACCCTAACTTAGAACTTCCCAATCAACTTGCTCCCAAACTCCTGATCCATAGGCACTGTGAGATAATAAGTGATTGCTGTTGTCCTGAACCATTAAATTTTGGAGTAATTTGTTATATGGTAATGGATAACTAATACACTATCAAAACTTAGAAGCTTTAAACAATCGTATCCCAGATTCTGCAGGATAGCAACTGGCGACCTCTTGCTCCTTGTGGCATCAACTATGGCACAACTCAGCATTACTCAGCTGGTGGATGGGCCGATTGGGAGGATCCAAGACAGCTTCACTCACATCTTGGGCACTTTTTGGGCTAGAAACTAGTCTCCATTGGAATAGATTACCACAGAGCCTACACTTGGCCTCTCCAGAATGGCTGTCTCCAAGTAGATGAACTTTACATGGCAGTTGGCTTCCCTCAGAACAAGTATCCCGAAAGAACCCAGAAGAAGCTGTACTTTTTTATGACCTAGCCCTGGAAATAACATACCGTCATTTCTACTATATTCTCTTGGTTGAAGCAGTCATAAGACCACCTAGATTCAAGAAGTGACTCCACCTCTTGATGGGAGGAATATCAAAGAATTGATAGCTATTCTTTTAAAAATAAATTAATTATTAAGGTATAATTTATATGCAATAAAATGCACCAATTTAAATATGCAATTTGGCAAGTTTTAGCACATGACTATGTATTACCCTGTAACTACCATCACCATCAAGCTACAGAACATTTCCTTCATCCCAAAGTTCCCTTCTGCCTCCTTGCAGTCAATCCCTTCACCCTTCCCTCCTAGTGCCAGGCAACCACTAATCTGCTTTCAGGCTCTTCTAGAATTTTGTGTGACACCATATATGGTTTTTTACAGTTGGCTTTTTCACTTAGCTAAATTCTTTTGAGACCCATCATGTTGTTTGTTGCATGAATCAATAGTTCATTTATTTTTTATTGCTAAGTAGTTTCTGTTGTATGTCTATAAATGTTTTGTTTTAGCAGTTACCTGTGGATGGACATCTGGGTTGTTTCCAGATTTAGATTATTATGATAAAGCTGTTATGAACATTCATTTTCATTTCTCTTGAATAAACATCTAGGAGTGGGGTTGCTGGGTCATACTGGAGATAGATGTTTTAACTTCATAAAAGACCACTCAATTGCTTTCCAAAATGGTTGTGCCATCTTATTTTCCCAGCAAGAATATATGAAAGTTCTAGTTGCTCCCCACCCTTGCTAACACATGGGATTGTCAGTCTTTTTAAGTTTAGCGATTCTAATGGGTGTGTAGCAGTATCTCATTGGGGTTTTAATTTGCATTTCCCTGATGACTAATGATGTTGAGCATATTTTCATATACTAATTTTTTTTCAACGTTTATTTATTTTTGGGACAGAGAGAGACAGAGCATGAACGGGGGAGGGGCAGAGAGAGAGGGAGACACAGCATCGGAAACAGGCTCCAGGCTCCGAGCCATCAGCCCAGAGCCTGACGCGGGGCTCGAACTCACGGACCGCGAGATCGTGACCTGGCTGAAGTCGGACGCTTAACCGACTGCGCCACCCAGGCGCCCCCTTTTTTTTTTTTTTTTTTTCATGTACTAATTGATCACTGATATATCTTCTTTTGTGGAGTGTCTATTAAAATCTTTTGGCATTTGTAACTGGTTATTTTCTCACTATTGAGCTTTAGAAGTTGTTTATAAATTACGGATACCAGCCTTTTGTCAGGTCTATGTATTTAAATACTCTCCTCCTGAGGGCACCTGGGTGGCTCAGTCAGCTGGGCGTCCGACTTCGGCTCAGGTCATGATCTCATGGTTCTTGAGTTCAAGTTCTGCGTTGGGTTCTGTGCTAACAGCTCAGGGCCTGGAGCCTGCTTCAGATTCTGTGTCTCCCTCTCTCTCTACCCCTCCCCCCCTCGCTCGCTCTCTCTCTCTCTCTCTCTCTCTCTCTCTCAAAAGTAAACATTAAAACATTTTTGTAAAGAAATATTTTCCTCCAGACTGTGGCTTGCCTTTTCATCTTCTTCAAACTGACTAAAGGGCAGAAGTTTTTAATTTTGATGAAGTCCAAATTATTATTTTCTTTTTTTTTAATTCATGCTCTTGGTGTCCTATAAAAGAAATCTTTGCCTACTCAAGATCACAAAGATTTTTCTCCTATGTTTTACTCAAGAAGTTTTATAGTTTTAGCTTTTATGTTCAGATCTATGATTCACTTTGCGTTAATTTTTTCAAGGTGCATAGTCAGGTCAAGACTCATTTTTTTCCCAAACATATGCAATAGTTACAGTAGCCTTTGTTGAAAATACTATCCTTGCCTCATTTATTTAGCTTGCCACTTCTGTCTGAAGCAACTACCTATATGTGTGTGTATGTATATATATAAAATAAAATATACAGTCAAATATATGTAAATATATGTATATATATTTTTGTGTATCTATTTCTGGATATTTTTGTCACGTTCTATTGATCTGTACATTTACCTATGTAGTCATATTTTAAAACTGCCAAAAGCATAGCAACTCACTGTAGCCTAACTGGTCTCATGACATCAGACACCAAAGCCCTTAGGCATGGTCCGTATTACCTGGCTCAGGCTCCTGGGAGATGGCATGCTGGCTCCTGCTTACCATTCTGGGCTCCTCTCCCTCAGAGAGAATGAAGAGATCATAAAAAATTAGTAAGGAGGAGGAGGTATGTGGGGAAAAAAAGAGATGTGACCTCTTTTTGCCAGAGTTCTGGTCATTCAAGTTAAACTCGGTGTGAAGAAATGAAGAGATGACGAGAGATTGCAGAGCTATGTCTCTGGCCTAAAAGAAAAAGTTAGGACCCATATAAATTAGATGGGAAACAATCCCATTTTACAATATTGAAACATGCCAATGGATGTTGCATCACAACACAATCCCCTCTATGGGTTTGTTACAGTGTCTGCATAAAGGTAATGTAAGCCTTTCCTCTCAAGAGAATATTTTACTTCATGACTTTTTTTTAAGTTTATTTATTTATTATTGAGACAGAGACAGCGTGAGTGGGGGAGGGGCAGAGAGAGACTGAGAGAAAGAGAGAACCCCAAACAGGCTGCACACTCTGAGCACCGAACCTAACGTGAGGCTCGAACTCACGAAACCGTGACATCATGACCTGAACAGAAACCAAGAGTCAGAGGCTTAACCAACTGAGCCACCCAGGCACCCCGACTTTTTTTTTTTTTTTTTTTTTTTGGCAAAACACCTATTTAATTATCTCATATTTGTCAGGAACAAAGTTTTTGAATAAGAAGTTATCAGGGTTTTTCTGTTTCTGAAAAGTAACCTTATTTTCAGTAAACTTTCTGATTTACTAAAAGTTTTAACTGGTTTACAAAGTCAATATGTTAATCTACTAGCTCAGGCGTCTAAAAATTATTGTGAGATTTAATATGAATGCATTTAGTTGATTGCTGTAGAGTCTGTTTGCAGAGGTAGCGATCCTCAGTAAAAGTGGGTGAAAATTTTGAAAAAGTATAAAATCTTTAGCAACTGTGCATACCAAACAGGTTCTCTGGCATTCTGCCAAATCAGACAACATATCTGGCTCTTTCTACCACAGAAACTCTCCTACCTGTATTTCTACATCACTCAACATGGCAGAGCTAACAGAAAACCAAAGTCAAATGAGGAAACTTGGCAAATGATTATCTGGCTTCACTGTTTGACCACTAACTGGCAAATACCATAACAAAAACTGCCCAGGAGATAAATGAGGGGATAAGAGTACATTTCTGACCCTGGATCCAGGCTCTCATGGAAGAAGCAGGTCTAAGATTTATAGGAAATGATTTGGGAATGAGTTCAACGTACTGAATAATCACAAAATTGTTTTTCCATTTAACAAAAATAATCCCCACGCTTCAAAAATTTTGGTGGTAGCTTTTTTTTTTCTCCTGCAACAGCACTCTATTTAATATTTTTACCCCATAATCCCACCTGTTGGTATTCTAGTTAAGATCAAGTACTTAAAAACCTTTATCAGATTTGTAGATCCCAGCAACCTGCTGGCATTTAACAAATACACAACACTGATGGAAATAAAGGAAGGTCCAAATGAGGTAAAACACATAAATTGTCTCAAACTGGTTATTTTTTGGATGACTTTTTACTGATGAGAAAAACTCTCTCAGCCAAAAGCTATTATGCGTATTAACTGCTTCAATTCCCTTCTTTTACGAAGTTCTGAATTTGTTATTAATATAACACAGCACTAGTTAGAAAACATATGATAAACTAGTTTTTAAAAATCGAATTCAAGAATGCCAAACAGGGTGACTAATTAAGAGTGGAGGTTCCAGGGAGCGCCTCACTTCCGTCTCCCCAGGACAGAGGGATAAATAACTGAGACAGAGGTTAGTGGCCTAAGTAGGTGGTGCCAGGGCGTAAGAAATTGTTGTCTTGAGGCAGAGGATGAGGAAAAATGCAGAAGAGGAAAGGGGAACCTTAAAGGATGTAGGTGTGTGGTGATATTCTTTTCTCAAATGAGGACAGAGCTGCAAAAAGTATCAGGAGGGGCAAAGACGAACCTGCGTTGGTTTCTCGAGGTTTAGGAGCAAAAAAAGCAAAGCGACAAGCAAAAGAGGCAGGATCTTTCAGATCTTTCAGGATCTTTCAGAGCTGGACATTATCATACAAGCACTTAATCCAGGGGGTTGCAATTCTGTCTGGAGCCAAACCCGAAGGAACTTTTACCCAAAACAAGAGCAGAGAGAAGACAAGCCTTGGTCGCTGAAGGGCAGAGTGCGGCAGAAGCCCTCCACGCGCATACACTCCTTTCCCCATCCCGTGAGCTGCTAGGAAACCCAGAGCGGTCTGTGCCTCAGTTTACAGCGGAAGAAACAGACACACAGACCCAAATGACCCGCTCACGGTCACAGAGCAGAGCCGGCTGTCACGTCTCCACACAACTCACCACTTACCGGTTTGCCACTCCAGGGAGGCAAGGAGGGAGTTGTGTGTTTCATGGAATCAACAGGGGGAGTCGTGGCGGTCAAAATCACGCGGGGAGAAGGCGGGAGGACGCGATCTCGGCTGCGAAGGCGTCCGTGCGTGCCCTTCGCCTGGACTCCTCCCCGTGCGGCCACCAGGTGGCGCGCCCGGCCCGCGGGTCGCGGCGGCGCGTGGCGGAGTTGGGGCGGGGGGGGGGAGCCCTCGCGAGCCCATCGCCTAGGAAACGGAGGGCTAGGCTACAGCAGGGGAGTGGGTGGGCCTGGTCCGCCGGCAGGACGCGAGTGCTACCTGCGGGCCCACTGCAGTGCATCCGCGCCTGGAAGCGGTCGAGGGAAGGTAGGGAGACTGGCTGGACTCCTCGCTCGACCCCTGACTCCTTCCAGTTTGGCACTTAAGACTTTACATCTCCGTCCCACCCCCACCAGGCCTGGGGCTTGCTCTACGCCCAAGCGGGCCTGGGGTCGCTCCCTCCTGGCGTCCTCCACCAAACCCTGCTCCTGGACCGTGGGAAACCGCCGGGAGGGGTGCTCATAGGCCCGCCCCTCTTCAGGAAGGAGACAGTGAGGGAGATTTTTTGAACTGATCAAAATATTAACCTCTCTTCGCCTTGCAGTAGAACCCCCGGTGACTTGCTGATTTGCCCGCCCTTGGAGATCTGTTCCTGAGGGCAGGAGCTGAATGTGATTCAGGTTTGTGACCTTAATGGTGCCCTCACAGCCTCTAGCACATAGGTGTTCAGTAAACTAATCCTTCCATTTGTGTGGAGCTTTATCGCTTGACAGTATTCCCAAAGCATTTGAGCCTCACTGATAACCCGGACAGGAGGTAGGAAAGATGGAAGAGAACTCAGGGTCAGAGGGGATTAGAGACTCAAGGTTATAAAACTCACTAGTGGAGGAGCCAGAACTAGACTCAAGTCTTGCTTTGCTTAGTGCTCTTCTCACCGAATTCCTGGTCTTGTGAATGCGTTTTGAGTGAGGACTCACACCTCCCTGCAACCTTCTCAGAGCCAGCATGGAGCCCTCCCACGAGGGTACTACCTGAGTGCTCTAAGTGTTGCTGATGGCCTTCCCCCCGCCCCCACTCTCCTCCACAGTCCATAGATTGGCTTTAGCTCCTTGCCGTGGATGCTGCAACATCCTTCTGAACAGGACATTAGGTTTCTTTCTTTTATTAACGTTAGATTTGTACAGTACTTTGTTCTTCACTCCCCTTCTTACTCCATGATTAATTCTCTGCTGGGCAAGAGAGAGTTGAGGAGGTGGTTGGGTAGTGGCAGATGTCCCATTGAAGGAAAAAAAAAAAAAATATATATATATATATATATATTTCTGTTAAGGCAGAGAAGGAAAACAATAAACCTGGGTATTTATCACTGTGTGTGTGATAATTGCTTATGGATTTCCTTACTGCCACCCCAAGACCTGGCCCCAGTAGATCTCTTTGTATTCACCACTGCTCTCTGAAAATGGAAGCCCATTGGTTCTCCTCCACCATCAGAGTTTGAAAATACTACATGTATTTCCATTATCCTCACAACATTCTTTTCATAATTATGTCTCTTTTATTTTGACATTTCTAAGCTTGAAGGACAGCAGGAGTTGGGGAAAAATGTAGTAGTTCTGGTTGCTAGAGAAATTAGTATAATATAATGCTTCTCAAACTATTTGTTATTAGCAAATCTGGATCAGAAGATAGACCAATTCAGAAGCTAAGTGTAATTTGGGAACTGCAGTTCAGAAATGTCCCACTGACCAAAGGATTTGTATTGGTGAAAAAAATACATGGTAATGTAATGTACATCACCAATTAGGCATGTGAAAGTTGAAAGTGTTATTTATCCAGATATTTTTAAATATCTTGATTTGAATATTTGGTTGTTTAACATATCTCCAAACTGGCTGTGTTTTACATTTTAAAGCTGTTTTGGGCTGTATATACATAATCTATACAAAAAAAGGACTGAATTTGTTTTAAGCTAACTTTTAGGTGATATTCTCACTACTAAAAGGCTTTAAATGAATTCAGCGCTTTTTAACATACACTGAAGAGCATTTCTTTTTTTAAATGTTTATTTATTGATTTATTTTGAGAGAGACAGAGAGCACAAGTGGGAGAGAGGCAGAGAGAGAAGGAGAGAGAATCCCAAGCGATGTGGGGCTCAATCCCACAAACTATGAGATCATGACCCAAACTGAAATCCAGAGTCAAATGCTCAACCGGCTTAGCCAGCCAGGCACCCCTACACTGAAAAGCATTTCTAAAACATTTAAATATTGTATTAACAATATGTTCTAGCATAAGTGAGAATTTGAATTTAAAAGTGATTTACTTTCTAAATTCAGGGTATATACAACATTATGAGAAAATAAATAGGGCCATGGATAAAGAAAGTGAGTATACATTATTTGCAGGTCATTCAAATTAGACATTTATTGAGCATCTACTTTGTGTCCAACAAGGTATGTTCCAACATATATTTTGAAAACATATTTTGAAAATATATATTCCAAATATATGTTCCAACATATATTTTTGAAAACCCAAAGATGGTTTGTTGAAGCGGTTAGTTGTTATTCAGTATTAAAGGAATTATATTTTGTTGAAAATGAGCATATAACACCATGAATGCTTTCAAATATATATTGCAATTAACACTATAATGGGATACTACTACATTATTATTATTTATTAGACATACACATTTACAGCTAGTTAATGGCAGAGCCAGTACTAGATAGACTTCGAGACTTCCCACCCATATAGAGATCTTTTCACTAAATCATGCCCTCAATCTCTGATGAAATCATATTCAGAACTTTTACCGTTACTAATGCTGTTAAGTAGATATCTTCCATTTTAATCTACATAACAAACATCAGAATCCATTTCAAATGTCAAAAAAGCTATTAGGGCAGAGCTGCCATCCCTCTCAGCCTCCACAAAATTTGGAAAGAGTCATTAGGAGGCTTCTGGATATCTCCACAAAGTCATGAAAAAAGTCATTAGGAGCTTTCTCAGTATTGAGCCAGGATCCTGAGAATGCACTCTTTGGTTTTTTGGGGGGGTAATTTTGCAGAGTCAAGTAAAGCATTATGGGATAACAGTACATTTGAATAAGATGGCTATTCTATGTCCATTTTTTTCTAAACAGACTTCTTCCTTTCCACTGAGAAGCATTTGGGGAATATGTTTTGGATTATGGAGTAGGCTCTGAAAAGGCTGGAGACCTGAGTCTTTCAAACCTAGCCTCCTCGCCTGCCATCGCTCTATGGCATATGTTATGGAATGCCCAAAGAGCATTGGGAAAGGACAAACAGATAGTACAAAAGGTCATACTGTGACCATCTGAAAGATCTCCAGAGCATTCATTGCCTGCAAAATCTTGCTAGCCTTTTAAAGTTGTTCATTATTTTTCTTAAAGTCCTACTAGAGTATGCTTCTTTCTTCCTATCCATCTGAGTAGAGATCTTGCCTCTTCCATATGTTATAATTAAGGACCAGGTAACGTGCCATGCACAGAGCAGGCACCAGATAGATGTTTGCAGTTACTGACACACAGATTAGGTGTCCATCTGTCAAGAATTATTCTTCATAAAACCTCCTGGAAGATAACCTACATTACTGTGTGAATATTTTTCTAGGGTCCTCACCCTTTGCTGAGATAGAAGTCCTCTAGGTGGACAGGAACCGTCAATCCTTGTAAATGTTTATGAAAATCCCCATTGTTTGTAGGACGTTATCAAATGTAGAAGGACATTCTGAAGTAATGTCATTAGCTCATTGCAAAAATGCATCTATTAAGAGGCCAATCCTCTGCTTACTGATTTTCTGGAAAGTATGTAAAACAATGAATCTTAAAATAGTTTATGGATAAATAATTTGTGCTAATGGATCCACATTTTCACTCATAGTTTGTTAAAGTGCTTTGCCATGAGTTGCAGTTAGGTAACTAATAATACTTTAGTCAGAGAGCTGAAAACTTAAGAGCCAGGTAACTGAGGTAATGAGCAAGATGAGGTCATTTTTCCTCCAGCACCAGATGGGTATTATAGATGGAAACTCTAACACTTGATCTCCTTCATATGACTCAGAAGGAAAATTATAGATCAATGTTAACATTTGTTTTAACTTTTAAATAAAATATTTATAGTAAAACAATCACTGTTAAGTAGTAAGTTATTGTTGCAAAATGATACACTTGTCAGCATGTTATCTCTTTGTGCAATAGTCAAGTTAAAATTTCTAATTCTAAAATAGAAAATAATATAAAAATTCAACTCTGCATCTAAAACAAAACAAAAGCAATCTTTACTCAACTTACAAGTTTCTGTGAACTGTGATGGGAGAATGACACATTTTATTGTGTAGTTTATGAAATTATTCTCAATACTTTCACATCTGAGAAGATACCACTTAATATATTACTCGGTGTTAATGTGTTAAATCTTTTTGTTGACAGCTGTGTGCTTTTCATTTGGAAAGTATTATATAGTATATTTGCATTCACATATACTCGAATCTGTTAGAATGTAGAGATGAGCACACTGGCTGGAAAAGAAAAGTCTCAGACACAAAGACTGAGCCTCACTGGAGGTCTAGGTGTGAAAACAGCATGTCTAGGAAGAAGTGTTTCATTTCAGAGACATTTTCCACTGTGGATCTCAGTGATCTATGTAGATTGCCGAGTCAGTGGCCCAAGTCAATGATGAAGATTGACAATAGCAAACCGCATGGATTAGTTTTTCCACACATCATTATACTTGGCATTGGGTAGACATCCTCTGCTTTAGTTACCCGGAGTTCGAAAAAGCCTGATCTGGAGCTTTAACTAAAAGGGCATAATACTTAACTAAGCTCTTTCTGTATGTCAGCCACTATGCTAGGTGCTTTAAATAATGGCTTATTTAATCCTTACAACAGCTTTTAAAGTATGATTTTTGCTCTTAACTTATAGATGATGAAACTGAAGCTCAGAAAGATTAAGTCACCTACCCAAGCTCACATAGATAATAGGTGGTGGATATAGGATTAAAACATGTCTGCCTGATTTATCCATCCAGTTTTTCCTTTGACAAGGACTTACTGTGCATCTACTTGTGCTAGGTGG